CCATTTGCCGGCATGGGCAATCCGACTTGCCACCAGCAGGCCAACATAATTTGCTTTCATTTCTCTATGAAATACACAAGCTCCTTGTTTGTACATTTACTTTGGCCAATGCACGGGGCCTCCTGAGACTTGCGGTGTGCCCCGATGAACCCCGCGGCTGTGGGGCAGATTGCTGAGGCCGCTGGCGCTTCGGGGATAAACATCACAGACAGCACCGACATTCACCCAGCTTTCGTTACCATTTGCCCGCACGGGCATTCCGACTTGCGGTCTGCCGCACTGTCCATGCGGCATGCACCCGGAATGGATGCGATTCGCGTGGAGCCCGCAGGCGGTGCTGACGATTCCGCCAGTGCAAGCTTAGCTCTCACACCATCAGCACTGCTGCAACAAAGCATATCTCCCACCGCGTTGACACTACCCATCAATTGTCACCCTTGCCACCCTTGCTACCGGCCTGTACGGATGCAGAGGGGCCCCGCCCTTTTTCCGGCTTCCTTGAAGCCGACACCCAACTTGTCTGTAAAATGTTTTATTGTCTGTCAATTGTGCCTGGTATATTAGATAGGTCCCTTTTATTATCCCAGGGTGCCAGCTGTAGGCGATCAAAACTTTTGCAGGAGGCGTTGTTTGTACGATGCCTGCAAATCAGTATTAGCCCAGTTGAATAAAGCAAGGAAGGTCGTGTGCACTGCTTGGTACGCTTGGTACAGGGAAGCTGACTGATAAGCCGGTAGATAGGCCAATTTATGCGAAGTTTGACCGCACGCATGGCCGCGTGGAGGCACTTATCGTACGTCACTGGTATGCCAACAGCCGGGATGCCGTTGACCTGACCGAGAAGTCTCGGCATGTCAGCAGGTTATTCAACTCACCAACTGCGGTTGGAAGCTGCAGCTTCTAGTGACCCTCCTTCGCCATAGTACAGCAAATGCACATGTTCGCGGGTCTTCCAGTGAAAGTTAAGCGGCAGCCAACTCGCTGGATGGGGCGCATGCCGTTGTTGCTCCCGTCCCGTCGGTGTGGCTGACAGCAACCACCAGCCGGTCGGCTGCAAGCAACCGCCATCCACTCAACAAGTAGGAGGCAACTTGCACCAAGGTCTCATCAGTCGTACATTGCCGTACCAGCCGTTGATTAGCAACCGCCATTCTGCCATATATAAGAGCGCCCTACCTCTCTGCCTTTCCAACCACTACCTTTATCATGAAAGGTTATCACTCGAAGGCTCATTCGTTATCTGCACACACCTATATACGGCGGTCGTTTTATGCGGATCGTTCTGTAACTAAGTGCGCCATCGACGTACATACGAGCAGAGAAGGGTCTCAAGCCTTACGAGCAGCTACCTGTGTGTGATTCCCCGCACTCACAGCAACCTTCCTAACACTCCTTAACATGGCCGAAGCAAGCTGCGCGCAACATACCAGCCTGGCCCGCCGCGGCATCTCACCCGTCGGAACCGCGCCCATGCTGCGGATGCGGATGCTCGCCCTCCTACTGGCTGTCGCCTTGCCGTCATCCATGGCCGCATGCGCCGATCCCTTCACGTACACCTACAACAAGATCAAGTACGACAACGCAGAAGAGAGCGGCCGCAGCTACACGCTGTACGACATTTACCCTGGCGGCTGTTTGTGGAACTTCACCACGGCCAAGGCAATCTGCGAGCAGGACGGTCTGCAGCTAGCACCTCACGGCGAGGCGCAGTCACTGGGTGAGCACAATGGCATAGAGCATATCAGCGAACTCCTCCGCCCCTCACTGATACTAGGACTGCGTAAGAGCGGCACCTCATTACATCATATATGCTGTTTTACTCGGTTTGCTGCACATTGCGTGCACAAGCGCCGTCATTGTATCTACAACGTGCATCCATGCATGCTCGCTCGCCCGCAGCCGTCCTCCGGGAGCTGTGCGCCAAGAACCGCTACACGTGTTGGATGGACGGGGTGCCAGCAGACCCCTCCGCCGACCTGTGCTACCTGATGAGCCAGGAGGGAGACGTGCACCTGCAGGGCTGCGACCAGCCCGTCCGCTTCGTGTGCCGTGACCAGGTGAGTGAGCGGTACAGCCGGTGCTGCACACGTGACTACTTGATACTGTATGCATGCTTGTCGTAATGACGCTGCTGACCGATGAAACAATAAAACTGAGAAGTTGGCAAGTTACCGCGGGGACGGCAGCCGCGGCTCGTTACATATCAGCTGCGACCAGCACGTCTGGCTGGATAGATAGCACCAAACGTCAAGGCGCACGAACGCGCTGCGGTGAATGCTGCAGCACCAAAGACGCAACTCGCATCCACGTTGCTATCGCCAGCCTTGTAGGCGTCGCACTAGTAGCCAGCAGTCTTCATGCTCTGCCGTCCTGCAGCAGGTGAACTGGCATGCGTATGCTTGAAACGTAGAATCATACTCGTCAGTACCCTCATACATGCATATTAATATGAAGGTTGCTGTATACATCACCGTCGGCGCCTTTCAGTGGCAACAGCGAGCACAAATCAAGTTACTCAGTGGCCCGGTTGCCGCAACTCCCCCGCCGCAAACCGCTGCTGCTACTGCTGCTGCTGCTCGCCCTCCCTTTCGCCGCCGGGGGCCCCTCACTCTGCCTCAGCAGGCCGCATGCTCCGATCCCTTCACATATACCTATAACAAGATCCAGTACGACAATTCAGAAGAGGGTGGTCGTATCTACACGCTGTACGACATTTACCCTGGCGGCTGTTTGTGGAACTTCACCACGGCCAAGGCAATCTGCGAGCAGGACGGTCTGGAGCTGGCACCTCACGGCGAGGCGCAGTCGCTGGGTGAGGATAGACATACATAAGTATCTATGTCACCAGCAGGAGCGTGCGCTAGATTATGAGAGCGGGTCCACGACATCCACACACGCGCGGCAGGGCAAGAGACTATGTGTGTGCAAGGCCAGAGGAATGCAATTATTCCTGTTGTAGCGGCTACTCGCGCCCTGCTTCTTCGCAGTAAAAGTCACACGCATCACGCACATCAACTTCGAAGTGCTCGTTGATTGCCTGTCCTTGAAAGCACCATGTATGCATATATGTGCATCTTGCTGCCTAAATGTACACACGACCCTGTTCGACCGCAGCCGTCCTCCGGGAGCTGTGCGCCAAGAACCGCTACACGTGTTGGATGGACGGGGTGCCAGCAGACCCCTCCTCCGACCTGTGCTACCTGATGAGCCAGGAGGGAGACGTGCACCTGCAGGGCTGCGACCAGCCCGTCCGCTTCGTGTGCCGCCAGAGAGCAGCCGCTGGTACGCAACCCGATAGCTAGATGAGTGGCTTGCACGTGCTGGATGGGCATATGTTCGTATGGGAGGAATAGTGCGCCTGCGGCAGATGATCTACTTGCGTGCTGGGGTTACCATCCTGCCAGTGAAACAACAATTCATTGAATCTTCGGGGCGTTGCTGTAGATAGTACGGCACCCAGATCGTCTATGATCAAGAGGCCTTTACGGCGGCCAGCTGCCACACATGTGCATCTGTCATCGTGACGGCATAATGAAGCTAGCTAGCGATAACACGCACACCCGTGCCTATCTTCCGACCTCACCCGTGCATTGAACGTTGTGACAACCCCCCTGCAGGAAGAGCGGCTGCTCGCGGCGTTGCTGTTCCTACCGAAGGCGTGCTGTCGCTGAGCAGCCATGATTACGACTACCGCCTGTACACCGTAGACGCGGCTGTACGCATGTCGTACCATGGGGCTGTCGAGTTCTGCCAGGAGTTGGGTGCTGGCTGGGACCTGGTGCCGTACTGGGACGACAGCAGCAACGCGTATGCCGCCGTACTGCAGTTGTGTTCCGATCTTCAGTTTACTTGCTGGCTGAAGCGCAAGGACGACAGCCGCACTGGCAGCAGCGGCCCAATGCTGTGTCCCCTCATGGCCGCGGACGGGGGTCTGCAGATGCAGGGCTGCGAGCAGGACGTGCGCTTCGTGTGCAGGAAGGCGCAGAGGGCCACGTAGCCTGTCTTGACTTCCCAACATCAGTCTAGTCATAATTCCACATATGTGGGCTTCTTCTTGGTATCCGTTGGGATAATGGTGAAGACTTGCTTTGGGCGTTTGAAGGAAGATCTGTTAGATTTAGGGCCTTGGCGAACCTCGTTGGACTCAAAAGACGCACAGCAAGTAAGGCTGTGTGTGGCCGCATTGGCTTGACGGTTCTGAGACTCGCAACATGCTGTTGTAACCAGCATGCCTCTGTTTTCCTGAGTGCGACCCTTCAAACAGACAGTTCGGAGATTCATTTGTTGTTCGGCGAGAGGAAATACATAACCCAGCCTGGCTAACTGCTACGTTATCTTGTACACCACAAACACTGGTCTAGAGTTGGTAGCTTTCGCTCTATGGCCGGACCCCTCCCCACAGCTTGGGGCTCCGTGCGCTGACATCCTGCACCGGAAGGATTACGGTTTTAACTCCGAACCTTGCGGTAATGATTTCTGTGATTAGGATGGGGTCCACAGCAAACAAGCCGTGTGAGCAAGATATTAGATAGATGGATCGTATCTACCTATTCCCATCCCTTACCCTCCCTACTCTGAGGGGTTGGGAGGGCTAGCCCGACCCGGGGGAGGGGTTAGAGGGAGGGGTTGTGCAGTACACCCCCAGTGGGGGTCCCCCACCATAACCCACCCAGCCTGTGTAACGGTGGATAGCCTGGCCGGTAGAGTACAGTAAACAAACCCAGTACCAGAAATGATTATGTAATACTTCACCTCCAGCTAGCTTGGCCAACTGCAAGCTGCACACCGTCCCCAGCTTAACCCCAGGTAGCCGCCCGTGCAGATCATCCTCTGGTGCCCACATGCTGAGGTGGTCTACCTCATCATCGCCATTATCATCATGTCCCCACATGGCAGTATCCAGAGCCGACAAGAGCACGCTCGAATCCATGTAGACCTTACCCCGTGTGCCCAGCGGGATAACAGGCCCAAGATCGACTCGGGGTTGAACACGGACCAGGCAAAGAGCGGGCCTGTGGGCGAGGATGTACACAACTGTGAGACCCGATGCTCTTCCAACAGAGATCTGCTGGACATCCACACAGTTCTCCAGAGCAATAAAATTGTCCTCGTGGATGGTTGACAGGCCCGATGGGGCCATGGGTCAAGGCAGTATCTCTCAATATTATGAGTATGTCTATGAATGGAAGAAGTAAAGCTATGGAAGAAGCAGTGGCTTGTGTTGTTCTTACAGCACAGTCAGTCGTACGGTGCCGACAGATACACGTTTTCCTAACAAGTCTGCCTATTTATGCGTCTTTAGTTTTCATTCGGCAAATGCTGTACAGGGATATAATTCAATACTTGGACCAAGCAAGCAAATAGATTTTAGGATCCATTGCTCGTCATAGTAGCATAGAGGACCTGCCTGTGTGTGGGGGGCCTGGGGGGCCAAACGGCCCTGGCAACACCAAACCAAGCTGGTGCAAATGTAGCATTTATTAGAACTGATGTCACGCTGGAATCTGACCTAGGGGAGATGGATAAAGCTGTGGTTTAGCCACCGAAGGAGCCGGGTTGGGTTGTCATGGGTCAATGAGGGGTAGATAGTGTGGGTAGGGTAAGGGGACCCTATCCCTACCCCTACCCCGGGGTTGGGTTGGGTTGGGTTGGGTTATGGCGGGAGTAGGGGGGTTGGGTTGTCATGGGTCAATGAGGGGTAGATAGTGTGGGTAGGGTAAGGGGACCCTATCCCTACCCCTACCCCGGGGTTGGGTTGGGTTGGGTTGGGTTATGGCGGGAGTAGGGGGGTTGGGTTGGGTAGCGGGTGGGTAATGCCCACCCGGGGGGCTACTGACCTTTGGATGCCATTAGGTATCTACCTACATAGCTAGACCTCGTTATCTTCCTTAACGCGTGTGTGTATCGCACTTTCGCTAGCGCTGAATATCCAGTGGGCTGACGGATACAGCTTCATGCATGAACGTAGTGTGTCAGTGAGATCTGCACCAAGTAACCATCGTACGTTGGCGCACCTCTTTACACAAGTACGCCCTTTCACCACATGTTTATACATTCACAGACGGATGGTATTTTTATGCTTCACATCTTTGCTGAAAGGTTGCGGGTCCTTCCGTCTCGACCATTGCCATGCTTAACACGCATGCAAAGTTAGTTGCAGAAGTAACCGTAAATAACCTGTATGCGCGATCTCTCATGCACACAGCCATCAGATGGCCCCTATCATCCAACCTTCATTCTGAGAAGATCTGCTAGCTCTTGTTGCTCGCGACTGCAACGGTAGTTGCCTCTGGCTGGTTAGCGCCTGCGAAGACAACATTGTACCACAGCCGTACGGCAGGGAAAATAGAACCGGCTGTGTATTGCAATCAATCTATGCGTCAGTATTGGATCAATCTCTGTGACCTTCATTGCCTCTGTAATTTGACGGAGCCTCCCACCAACCTAAATATTACCGCCTTTCGCTTCAATCTATTGACCGCAAAATATTATTTCCTACGAGGAAACTCGTATAATTAGGACTGATAAATACTAGCGCACAAGTTAGCCGGAGCAGTGGTCAAGGATGGCGGCTTTCGTGCCAGTGAACCCAAAGCCTTTCCTGCAAGACCTTACGGGAAAGCAAGTTATTGTCAAGCTTAAATGGGGCATGGAGTACAAGGGCTATCTCGTCTCTACGGATGCTTATATGAACCTCCAATTGGCGAGCACTGAGGAGTTCATTGACGGCCAGTTTACAGGACAGCTTGGCGAGGTGCTAATTCGGTGCAACAATGTTCTTTACTTACGAGGAGTTCCTGAGGAGGATGAACCAATGTCATAGCTAGTTGGCGTTCGGGACCGTACCGTGAGTTGGGACTTCACGTTGGCGGCATCTGGTGTGCAAGCCATGCCGTGCTTGGAGCATGGCTGTGGACGCATCATAAGCCCATGTTGGCAGTTAACAGCCTTGGCCGTGTTGTGGGATCTGGAGGGAGCTGTCAGTCATTGACATCTGCCGAGATTACTTATGATGAGAGGATGGTGTGGATCGGACAGATAGACTTCAAGCCCAGCGCTTATGGCGGTAGGGTTCTGTTCTGCGGCACATGTAACTTAACGAAAGTGCGCCGTGTCTCAGGATTGGTCTAGCCAGGCATACACGTCTGCGGCCAGGCACCTTCTGGCAACACCCCAGGCAACGTTGCACAGCCCACTTGCGAACCCCGCACGTTCCCCGTACGTTCCCCGTATGTGTCATACATAGGTCATCTCGCCCTCGTCGCACCAGCTACAGCTACATGACATGCATCACACATGTAACAATGTCCGTATTCCCGTCCTCCTTGCACGCTGGGGAACAGCCGTCGCTGCCGGCGGCTCTTACAACAATTGTTAGGGCTCTTACAACAAAGCAGCATTCCGGATCTGGACTATGGGCTGGGACGTGAACATTGCAAACCTGCTAATACACAGGGAGCTTTGACAGGACAGGAAATACCGGCACCAAGATAGATCATAAAAGCAGGGAAGGGCCGTCGGTGGTCCCGCAAAGCACTAAGGCAACGGAGTCGACATCCTGGCGTACCCTGGGAGAAGAATGTGGGTTTGGGAGCAGACCTGCTTCGCTTTGTGGCCCTTGCAGCCTGAGGACAAGGATCAATGTTATATGGTTGTGAGGGGGGGAGAGGGAGAGGGTCCCACCCAGATCACCAGCTGTCACCCTTTCCTCAGCCACAGCCGCCGCAACACCGGCAATTCATGATAACGGCAACATCAACGCACATCAGCCTCAACTGCACTGGCCGAGGTGTGCCCCTACTGCCATGCCATGTGGCAGCACAACGTCTGCCACCAACATCAATATGGATATATATCCATCCATCCAACACAGATCTTGACGTCCTGACAAATGACACGCAAGGTCCGAATGCTGCTCTAGGCGTGCCTTAGATAGGAGTGCCTTCTCCTCCCCCGCCGCCGTAACAGCTGATGACAGTGCTCACGGCCCTATACACATCTCCCTCCCTCTCTCTTCAGCCAGCAATCCTCCTCGTCCTTCTTCCCCTTTGCACCGGTCCACATCCCCCCTCCCCCCCCTACGTCCCTCACGCTGTCCATTGCCACCCCATCCCCGCCCCTCTCTGCTCCACATCCCTGTCACTTCATGTTGCTCCACATCCCTGTCACTTCATGTTGCGCCAGTGATTATGTCAGTTACGGCATTTATATGGGGACCAAGTCAAGGACCGAACGTACGATAAAGCTACCGGATGCTGAACAAGGGCAGGTTTCATCCCGTCCCACGTACCCTCCCCGGGCCCGTTTGTCGCTTCCAAGACCTCCCCACATCCTCCGCTACCGCACGTCCGGACATACGGCGACTCCACCCCTATCTCCTCGGCGGACTCGCGATTCCTTCATTCCCCCACCCTCACGCTTCTTCCACCTCGTCTCCTTTTCCCAGCTGCTGCTGCTGCTGTTGCTGCTCCTCACCCCCTGCCAGTTCTCCGCACCAGGTGCAGGGCCTTGAGGCGGATGCCGCAGCCCGTGTTGTTCACCCAGCAAAACTCGGGCCACACAGCCACATCCACCACATCACTGGAGGCGATATCCTGCAGGGGGGGGAGGCGCGCAGGGAGGGGGGACGACGCGAGCGGGCGCGGAAAAAGGGTTTTAACCGAGCTCTGAAACGAACATCTAAACCTTATCAACAAGAAAGTCAAACGTCGGCGGCCAGCCGGGCTGGCTGGAAGGCAGGCATGGTGAGGTGATTGGGGGCCCAGGAGCTGGAGGCCTAAGCCAGACGAAGCTAGTGTCCTACAACGCTCAACTACGGTGTAATAGGGCTTAAATTCACACGGTTGGGTCACTCTACCGAACGGACGACCACCAACCCGGGTCCCACATGCACGCATAAGAGTCCCCTTTTTCTCTTGCCGGGTCGTACTGAGATCCTTGAAAAGTGCTCAAACCCTATGTACATACACGCACATAATTAGTACACACACGCGCGCAGCTCACCGGCAGGTGCGCCGCGATACGAGCCAGGTTGTCCTCCTTGATGCGCTCCAATTCGCTGAGACAACCGGAACTGTACGGCACCTGCTGCTGATGCTCCTGGGAGGGAGCGGCGCTAAAACCCTCCTGGCTCTGCCCGACTGTAGCGGCGGCTGCGCCCGCTGGGGGCGTGTACGACTCCATCGGTGGCCAAGACAGGGCCTTGTACGACGCTGTCTTCTTGTCGTACGTCGCCAGCGTAGCCAGGGGCTCCCAGCGCAGCTCTCCCGGCGAGGGGCCGCGGGCGAGTTGCGCATGAAGCTGTACGGTGATGTTCTATGTGTGTGGTGTGGGGGGGGTGGGGGGGTTTGAGAGAGGTTGTGCATTGTCAGTTTGGTGGGTTGGCTTGGACGCACGAGCTGGGCATTACGACTGTTGGATGAAAGAGACACAGCAGTCACCCGTAGTCGAGGTAACACGCAGCACAGAGAAAAAACATGACAGGCAAGGGCTTCCCCCCCTCGGCGGGGATCGTACCAATTTGCCCCCCTTGGTCCCCCTGCTATCCTCCTTTCCGCACGAGTACAGCTTAAGGTTCCGGCCGGCATCGCCGCGGGCTTGTACAGCGGCCTGCGATGTGAAATAGCACGGCAAGGCGGTACGGCATGGCAGGGCACGACGATGCGGCAATATGAAGGAAGTACGGAATACCTCGGTAATACATGACGATGATGATGATGATGATGATGACGACGACACCGCCATCCCGTCAATTAGCTCTGAATCCGTAGATTACCTAGATGAGCTTATTGGCATTAGTCATGCACATCACTAGCTAACTATACGTAAGAGGGGGGGGGGATGCGGCAACAAAACCCGCGGGCTGCTGCTGCTGCGGTGGGGGAATGCAAAGGACCTGAAACGGTCGTCACGCACCGGGACGTGGGGTGATGACCCGGGTGGGGTGGGGTGTGGGGCTGAGAGGAGGGGGTGAAAGTGAAAGCCTGACAGACAGCACGTATCCATAAACAGTTCAAAACACGGCACTTCCCGTTTTTGAGCACCGAATCCGAAACCTCATCAGCACGTACATACTTCCCTCACTCACCTCCCTCATTCCCCCTCCATCTCCCCAGACACCCCTACAAGGTACAAAACACCTCGTACATAAACACATACCCCCCCACACACACGCTCGTCTCTACCCCAACCCCGCCAGCTACCGTCACCCACATGCCGAGCCAACGCGTCCATTAGCGCCACAAGCTCCGAAACCTCCTCCGCACTGGACATCCCCTCCCCAACACTGCCACCAGTGCCATCACTGCCGCCGCCGCCGCCAATGCCCGCCTTGCCTCCTCTTCCTCTCCCGCCACTCTTTGCAGCCCCCAGCATCATGTCCCATTTGGGCGAGTGGTCGGGCTTGTAGCCGTAACTGTTAGGTGGAGATGGGTAGGGGTAGGGGGAGGGGTAGGAGTGAGCGGAGGTGCGTGTGTATGTGTGTGTGAGGGGGAGGGAAAGAAAGAGAGAAAGGGAAGTGGGACAGCAAGGGAACATCTCTTCCAAGTGGCGAAATCACTTCGTCTCCGACATTCCAAGCCACCCGCCCACCTCCTGCGCTGAGCAATGCGCAGGAACCTCCTACCCTGCCCTGCCCTGTCCCCTATTCCCGTGCCGACTCCACTTCCTCGCCCCCACCGCCCCCTTCCTCTTTCCCCCACTCCACCTCCCCTTCTTTGACTGCCTCCTCCCCGTCCGGCACATGCCCCGCCTCCACATCGCCTCCGGAGCAGGTAATACCGCCTCCCCCTTGATCCCCCACCGGGTGCCCCTCCTCTTCCTGCCGTCCTCCTTCACCCCTTACTGCTGCTTCCCTCCTCCTCCCCCTTTCCCCCTTCAGGCAGCAGCTTCACTCGCTCGTGGTCTGTCTTTTCCCCCCTTCCCCCACCGACGCGTCACCGAGCCCACCTGGCCTTGGCCATGTAACGGAGCTTCACACCCCGCAACAACACCACGAAGGGGGCCAGGGAGGGAGACGGAGTCGGCGCCGCAGCAGCAGCCGTCATCGCCGCCGCGATACCTTCCCTACCCATCATATCTCTGCCGTCGTCACCACCCGCCTCCGCCGCCTCCGCCGCCGCAGTCGTCAACTCCTCAAACGCCACGGGCCGTTCGCCCAACACGTCAAAGATCCAGAACCCGGCGCTGCTGCCGCCGCGGGGCTTACGAAGGTGTATTTGGCTGGATTCCGCCAACTTCCGGAGCTGAGCCGGGATGAGAACCAGCGGGGCGGCAGCGGCGGCGGAGGCGGCGGCGGAGGAGGAGGTGGTCGAGGTGGCTGCCGGTCCCTGCGGCGACTTGAGCAGAAGCGCCCCTGTCGCGGCTTGCATGTGCCGTACGAGGCCGTCGGCGCGCGCTGCCAAGCTCACCAAGCCCAGACGGTGCATAGGCCCTGCGTGTTTGGATTGTGCGCACATATATACACACGTACACACATGCAGGCTTACCGCCCCTTCGGCATGCCATTGTCTGGGCATCTGGCGCGCACACACGCTCATACGCAGCAAACCCTCTTACCCTCTTACCTCTCACCCCTCTCACTCATGCATATGACGTTCTTATTCGCATCCTGCACACTCCCACGCGTTCCAACCTCTGCCACTGCTGCGGCTCTCACATACCTACCCATCTATCGACACCTGCCCACCCGCTCACCCGCGACCGGCTTGGCTGCCCCCCGGCCCCCGGCCAGCAGCTCTAGGTGCCGCATGGACGGCTGACCCCACACCAGGAACAGCTGCTGCCACACGTCCGCCAGGTCCACAGCGTCCACTGCGGCCCTGAGGGGAGGGGAGTGGGGGGGACAGGGAGGAAAAGGGTGGGGCGGGTGGGGCAAATAATAACCCCAAAATCAAAGGAACAACTGCCGCCAGCGGGTTGGGGTTGGGGTTGGGGTTGGGGGGGGAGAGGGAGAGGGAGAGGGAAGAGGAGGAGAGGGGAAGAGAGAGAGGGGGGGATAATGGGCTGGGCCGTTGGCGCTGTTGGCAGGGGTTGGGGTGTTTGAGCCCTATATTTCCTGAAGGGGGGAGGGACGTGGTGAGATGAGACGAGATAGGGTGGGATCGATGTGGGGTTGTGGAAACCCGGGCACCGGGTGCTACCCCCCACCCCACTCAACCTAGGACAAACATCCCCCCTTGTGAAACGTAACCCGTGTCGTCCCACACCAGCCGCCCACACTCTTTCCATCAACCCTCCTCCAACACCCCCTCCCCACCACTATAACCCCCACCACCACCACCGCCACACACACCTGTGTGACTTGCCGTTGCTGACC